GATGCATTATGTAAAGGTACAATTCCCAATGAGAAATGTAATTGTGTTGTATACCTACAATGTACCAATAAAAGAATTTAATACAAAAAAATATAGATTATAAATTATTATATATGAAAAATGCATGTTATTTTTATGAAGAATGACATGCCATCATTTAGATAAACAGAAAATGCAAAACTATATATATATTTCAAAAGCACAGAGATAAAGAGACACACATTAAAGGCATCTGAAAAATGGCAGCAGGGAGAGGAACAGGAAATATGAACAAAAGAATGAATAAATGTGTTCATTTGCCCCAAAGTAAGCAACATGTTCAACTACTCTTATCTTGCAGTCTACAAGGCAAAATGAAAAATCACTATCCTCAGAAAGGCAGAGCAATGTTTACCTTGGTTACAAAGGTTCAAAGCACATTTTGAGAAGGAAATCACATGGACAGTAATATAATTATGGTGAAACCATGGTGCATAAACAATGATGGTTTTTTTCCTCAGACAATGGAATTAGAATTTAGAGGTCATTATCCTGATTGATCCAAGAAGTGATGATTTCAGGAGCTCTCTGAAAGACCAGAGCAGATTTTATTGTAGGCTGGAGGTAGGGAAAGACAGGCCCAAAGAACTCCACTAGAGAGCCCAAGGGTGGGGCTGGCAATGGTGCGAACTGCACATACAGGCACGGAAGAGACAAAAGGATGTTAGGTATTGGTGAAAAGGCTTTTCATAGAGAATGAAGATCTTACACTTTATGGTTCAAACAGAATGAAGGTCTTGATTCTCAGGTAATCAGAAGTATATATAGGATATACCATAGGGTATAATTTAAAGTTACTGTTCTTTCCTGTCAGAACAATTTTGTACATAACTCCTTAGCTTAAAAACCTTTAATAGCTCCTCTTTCAGAGAGAATAGTTCAAAATTATTAACGTGGCATAATATGGTGTCAATCTACTTCTTTAGCTTCACCTACTGATATCTCACTTCTGCTGCTGGTTTTGCATGGGGAAAAACTTAGCTAAATAACATTTTTTAAAATTATCATTTTAAACTATTGTATTACAAATGTGTACCTGATCAAAATTCAAGTTAGTTACAATTTTTCTTTATTATGTGGAAGACAATATACTAGGCACTGTACAGAAGTGATTTTCAACCACTGAATCAGAAATTTATTTTTACTTTGTGACCGACCCATACATATATGTATTTATTTATACTGAAACAACAGTCTCACAAAAAAGTATCCTTGATACATGTTATACAATAATATTTTCTATCCTACTTTATTGCATCCCATTATGTTTGTAAAAGTTTGGATTCAACCCACTTAATTAGCTTGCTGTGAACTGAAATTTGAAAAGTAATATTATACAGCAAGTGAAATGTGGCCAATGCAATTGAGGAACTGATTTTTAAATTTTATCTCATCTGAACTAATTTAAACAGAAGCAACAGAAAGCCAGTACCTTTCCATTAAACAATTTTTGTTTTTTGGTAGAACTGTCTCACTTTACCAGCTGTCTATACTCTGGGTGGTTTTCTAGGGTTATCACTATCACTGATCTTCCTGGTGACAACAGACTGATTCAGTTCTAATTATTTTCTTCTCCACACTGATACAGCATCCTAATATGCTCATTTGAATATTCCATGTAGAAAGAAAATAAGAGATTGGGATGGAGAAAGGCATGCCGTAAATCTCACAATGAACAGCATCAGGAAATTGCTGCAGCAGAGCAGTGAAATGTTTGCTGTGAAAATCTTTTTCACTACATTCGGTAGTGGTATGAGAAGTTTTCAGCAAATACATGGTGTGTTTTACGTGAAGTTTCTACTCAACGGTCAAAAAAATAAAACATCCAACAAACATTCTAAATTTTTTTTTTTTTTTTTTGGTACCAGGGTTTGAACTTGGGACCTTGAGCTTACAAAGCAGGAGAGGGCACCAATGAGCTAAATCCCCAGCCCTCTAAAATATTTTTTTAACAGACAGATCTGAATTTATGGCTTTGGCCAGGTATAAGATGGTTTAGATTTTTTCACAAGAGAAAACCATTTTTAGATGAAGAAATGGTAAAATAAGTTAATTTAGCTAAGAATTTTTTTAATTATGAAGAAAAGACTAAACATTACATTTTATAAAAGTGACAGATGTTCAATTAAGCTCCAGACAGCTACCTGTAGAATGTAAGACCTTTGCTATAATATCAAAGGTCTGTTAATTCAAAATTTGAAAATGCAATGACTTATTTTATTTTAGTACAATATAGGAAACATTGCTCAATGAATACTTTTTAACTAGTTTTTAACTAATTAATTAATGCTTTTAAACTAATTAATACTTTTAAACTAAATTTAATGAACTCTAAATACATATCAACTATTTCCAATGAAAATTTAGTGTCTAAAGTGAGATGCGCTGTAGAGGTAAAATACATGCTAGATATCAAAGATTTTTTATACAAATATAAGAATGTTAAATGTCTCAATAATTTTTAATTTTAATCACATGTTAATAATAGTCTAGCTATACTGGGTTGAATAAAATATGCTACTAAAATTAATTTAACTTGTTTCCTTTTACTCTTGCTAATGAGGCTACTAGAAAATTATGTGGCTTGAATTATATTCCTATTGGATAGTATTACTATAGAAGATACAGGGCCGGGGATTTAGCTCAGTGGTTCCGCTGCCTGCCTTGTAAGTGCAAGGACCCAAGTTTGATCCCTGGTACCAAAAAGAAAAAAAGAAAAAGAAGATACAAAGACAGCTCTTTGCTAAAAGCAATTTACCATCTTGGGGGAAAGACAGACAAGCAAATAAAGAACTAACTAGACACAGCTACAAATGAATCAATAAAAACTCATTACACCTGGGAAAAAATATTCAAAAGGTAAATTCAAGTAGCCAATCATAATCAACAGTGATGTTCTCTATACCTCCAAAGAATGAGATTTAGTACTGGGGCATTTGAGCCTTTGAGGGTAGATTGAACTACAGTTAAATTAAGTTAAACCAACAAAGTAATACATTAAAGTTCCTCAAAGTATGAATCTACTGATGGTACATGAGATAATTCTAGGTGATGTGAGAACAATATTTATCTTATTCACATACTGAATAGCACCTGATTATTTAGTATGCATTAACAAATACATAATGAATAAAGTAATCTACTTATTAGGAAAAAAATAATGAATATAAAAAACCCCATAACTTCACAGACACTACTGTTTGATAAAAGTTTCTTTATAAAAGAAATTATTTAAGGAAAGTAAAAGTTTGATAGTATAGATGATATGAAAATAAGGCAAAAATTACAGTGATTTTGTTTTGGGTGATTTTTTTTTTTTTGGTATCGGGAATCGAACTCGGGTCCTTGCGCCATTTTGGGTGATTTTTAAAGATAAGATTTCTGACAGGTAATAAAAGTATTTAACTAGTATTTTATCAACTAATGGTTTCTAAAAAATTACTATTTCAAATTATCTTTTAAAAATATGAAATTAATCTAGGGATGCATGTCTGTAATCCTGGCATTCTAGGAGGCTGAGGTAGGAGGATGGGAGTTCCAGCCTAGCCTGAGCAATTTAGTGAGACTCTGTCTCAAAATTAAAAATAAAAGGCTGAGGATGTAGCTCAGTGCAAATGCCCTAGGTTCAGTACACACACACACACACGAGTTATACTGAAGTCAAAAACACTCAGTGACCCTAAATATATTTACCTCAATAATCTGCAAAAGCTGCGCCGGTAGCTTAGCCGCTGGCTAGCTGCAGCAACACTGGGAGGAAGAGGAGGCCGGGGTGGGAAATAAGCTAGTGTTGCAGAGAATATTAAGCAGACAACTCCAAATTCTGAAAGAAAAAAATAAGTAGTCTTAATTGGTAACAAGAAAAGTTCAGTATTTCAAGTATTTATTTAACAAATATTTACTGAGCATCAAGCAAAATATAGTTCCTGGTGAGCCTTTCTTTCAGACTAGTAAGAAAGATGAATACATACAGACAGAATTTCAGCAGGCCTCAGGTAAGATGTCACACTATAACTAAAGAAGCATGGTACTGTTTACTACCTGGACAAAAAGATTGAGGGAGTAAACTAAATGGAAAAAGCACATTAAAACCCAACAGTACCTTACTGCAAAAGAGATTGTGAAACAGGTCTAGCATGACTGTCTAATAAGTATGGAACTTAGAAAGAAAGAATATGAAAGAAAATTGCTAAGACTAGGTAGAAAGTTTAATCAGTAAGATTTCTGATGCATATGGAGGACAGATTCAATTTACAGACTGTACAAGACAGTTAACAAGACAAGAAAGCATTCAAAGTAAGAAACCAAGAGACACAAAAGTACTAGATAATATATAATATATATTAAACAATCAGAAATAAAACGAACTTCCAAACCATCTGAGTTTCGCTCCATTACAGATGGGAAAGTTTCTAGGATTCTCCATCCTTCCCTCCACAGTGCTGGTACTTGTCGTGACAGCTTTTGTTAACTGTACCCAATTTAGTAGAGAAGCATAACAGTAACAGCAAAGTCAGGAAACTTGGAGTACAGTAATGTCTGTGCTGTTAACTACAGTATATTGCAATTTGGGTGAAACCTTTAACTCTTTCTGGGCCAATAAAGGGATTTGATTTAGTGATTTCTATAGGAGGGAAAGGAAGACAAGAAAGTAAAGAACCAACCAGAATTGTCTGTTGGATAATTCTAGGACTCTATTCTCAGCAAATGGAACAATACTCTTGTAAGACACAAGCATAGGTAATTCACTGAGGCAACTGGAAATTTATAGATTTCTGGGGGTTTTTTGGTACTGGGGATCGAACTCAGGACCTTGTGCTTGAGAGGCAGGCATGGTGCCACTGAGCTAAATCCTCAGCCCTAGATTTCTAAATCTGAAAGACAAGATTGTTAACATTCTTTTGTGTGTTCTCAATCTCTGTGTTCTTTGTTAATCTGAGCAGCATGAAGTTAATGAACTTTTTAAATTTACAGTTCTTTTAATTATTAGTAACACTGATAAATGCACATCTTCCATACACTTGTTGGACATTTGTATTTCCTCTGTGATTGCCTTGTTCATATTTTTTGACCTTCTTTCTATAGGTATTTTTGTGAGCAGCTTCATGACATATAATTTATATAACATAACTCATACATTTTAATACGCATAACCCATTGGTTTTTAGTACATTTATACAACTGTGCAACTATCACCATAATTTCAGAGTTTTCTGGGATTGTTTGGCTATTCCTGGATCTCACATTTTTGTACAAATTTTAGGATGGCTTGTTATTTTCTACAACAAAGGCAGCTGGGATTTTCATAGGATTACACTAATTTGTAGAAAAATTTGGGAATATCTTTACAATGTTAAAATTTCCAACCCATGAACATAGCCTGTCTATTTTTTAGGCTTTTTGTACCAGGGATCGAACTCGGGACCTTGCGCTTTCGAGGCAGGCACCGGAACCACTGAGCTAAATCCCCAGCCCTATTTTTTAGGCTTTTAATTTCTTTCAATAGTGTTTTGTAGTCTTCAGAATTTTACACTTCATTTGTTAAATTTACATTTTGTTTGTTAAATATTGTATTTTTTGATGCTGTTCTAAATTGTCTCTCTAATTTCATATTTGGATTATTCCTTGCCAATGTACAAAAATAAATTTTTACTTTTTTTTGTTTTTTGAGGTAGGGTCTTCCTTTGTAGTTCAAGCTGGCCCGAACTCACTAGATAGCCCAGGCTGGCTTCGAACTCTCAGTGATCCTCCTGCCTCAGCCTCCTGAGTGCTGGGATTATAGGTGTGCACCACCACACCTGGCTTACATACTGTATTTTAAAACCTTGCTGAACTCATCTTTTATATCTAACAGTTATAGAATTCTAGAATTCTAGAATTCTAAAATTCTAGAGAATTTTTTATATTCAAGATCATATAATTTTCAGTAGGGATGTTTTCCATTCTTTATTTAAAATCTTGATACTTTTTATTTCTTTTTTCTTGCCCATGACACCAGCTAGACCCTCCAACGCAATGTTAAATAGATGTGGTAAGAGTGGACAATCTTGTTTTGTTCATGTCAGACTTTGACAATTAAATATGATGTTACCTGTATGGTTTTTTAACTAGGTTGAGGAAATGCCTATCTATTTCTAGTTTGTTGACTGTTTTCATTTTGAAAGGGTACAGGTTCTGTCAAATGCTTTACATTTATCTCTTAATAGGACCACCTATTTTCCCTCTTTATTCTATAATTGAGTTTTGAGGGTCAAACCAATCTTGTATTACTAGAATGAACTGTATTTGGTCATGGACTATCATCCTTGTTATGTTTCTGGATTTGGTTTGCTAGTGTTTTGCTGATGACTTTTGTGTCTACACTCATAAGAGATATTGGTCTGTAGTTTACTTTTCATAAAGTACCTTTGTCTGGAATAATTTAAGAGTCTTTAACCTTTTAAGGCAACAATTCTAGCAAAAGTATTTTTAATGGACTAAGGAATTATAGGACTGTTTCAGAAAGGCAGACTGCCAGACTCGCCTGTGGTTTCAGTGTGAAAGCACTAAAGAAGTAGAGTGGAGGGCTGGGGATTTAGCTCAGTGGTGCCAGCACCTGCCTGGCAAGCGCAAGGTTCTGAGTTCCATCCCTGGTACCGAGGCGGGGGCGGGGGGGGGAGAAGTACAGTGGACCCTTGACTTATGAACTCAATTTGTTCCAGAGGGCTGGTTGTAACTTAAGTTGGTCAACTGAAGGCTCAGGCTCCTCTACACAGCCTTCAAAGTCTCTCCTGTACACAGGCAGATATCAGTGTCCCTAGATTGGCCCAGGATTTCTCAACCCTACACGGGAAAGGATGCTGTAATGTTCCTTCCAGAACTCTTTTATGGGTTAAATCTGTGTCTGAGACCATCTGGAAGCACAAGTGGCCAGCATTCGGGTCAAAATTCAAGACTTTGCTCTAAGATAAAACTAAAATTCTGGTTGTAACCCAAGTTGTTCATATGTCAGGTCAGTCATAACTGGATGGTCTACTGTAACTAGGAAGTGGTGAGGAAGGGCTCTGCTTGACTCCATGAGAGGCATAAGCCAGAGAGACATAAAGCATTAATACATGCCTTGCAGTGCCTAAAACCCGGTCATTTAAGACAGGATCACTGCTTAGGTTTTCAATAAAATGAAAGATATTACCAAAATATAATTTAAAACTTATGTTTCACCTGTTTTAATTTCTATTTATTTTTACATTTCAATTTTTTTTTTTTTTGGTGCCAAGATCGAACTCGGGACCTTGCGCTTGCAAGGCAGGTGCCAGAACCACTGAGCTAAATCCCCGGCCCTACATTTCAGTTTTTTAAAAAGGAATGAGTTGTATACTTGTGATTGTTAATCTTGATTGTTAATCTTGATTGTCAACTTGGTTGGCTGGGGAGCGACCTAGGAGATTAGTAAGGCATATTTCTGGGTGTGTCTCTCTGGTGCCTTTCTCCTGTACTCTACTTCCTGGCACCATGAAGTGAGCAGTTTTGTTTCCCCAGTCCCTTCTGCCACGATGCTCCTGCCTTGAAGCTCCTGCCTTGAAGCTCCAGCTAGCAATTCCCTCAATCCTTTGAAGCAGAGAGTCAAATTAAATCTTTCTTTCTTCAGGTTGTGTTGTTAGGTCCAGGCAATGAAAAGTTGATTAATGCAATAACCACAGAGGGTTAGATGCTTTCTGTACTGCCACTGATCTTGCTTTCAGTTTTATCCCCTCCAAAGCCTATTTTTAAATGTAAATCTCATCATGTGAATCTGACAAACTTCAGAGTGTGATACTTGCCTACCCTTCAGCCCTGCTTAGAAGAACTGCAAGCGCTGGCTTCTGTTTCCATCACCCCAGCTCTACTCTCATCAGATCTAAGCCACTCTGGACTTTTCAGTTCTCTCTCTTTTCTGGGCTGCTTCTCCAAAGTGCTCTGTCTTTTTCATTCTTCCTTCTGCCCACCATGTTTGGCTTCCTCTCTCACATCCCTCAGGTTCTAGCGTTGATGCTGCATCTCTGGGAAGCTCCACTTCACCATGAAAATCTGTGCTAGGTGATCTTCCTCTGAGCTTCTAGCACCAAGTGCAGGGCTTCTGTATAACACTCATCACTCTGTTCTACAGCTGCACTTTCCTATCTTCATCCTTCAGAGCAGGAAATACGTCCACCTCAGTGCTTAGCATGGTCACAGGTATATAGGACTCAGGGTATGTGTGTTAAAGCCAGGCATGGTGGTCCACGACTATAATCCCAGCACTCAGGAAGCTAAGGCAGAAGGACTGCTTTGAGTTCAAGTCAAGCCTGGGCTGCAAAGTTAGTTCAAGGCCCTGAACTACATAGCAGATGTTGTCTCAAAATACAAATAAAAAGGCGAGTCGCGCGGAACACGCAGAATCAGCCCACTGCTGGCAGGCAGGTCTGCCTGCACATGCCCTACCGAGGTCCCGAGTCGCGCAGAAGACGCCGAATCAGCCCGCTGCAGACAGGCAGGTCTGCACATGCACTACCGAGGTCCCGAGTCGAGCAGAACACACAGAATCAGCCTGCGCCCCGGCAACAATCCACTGGACCCCCACCCCCACTCCTCTGTACAGCCACCTGGTTCCACACTACAAAGATGAAGAGGACACCAGACCACCAGACCACGGTACTGAGTCCCACTGCTCCCGGCCCAGAGGTAGGGGCTTCTGAGCTGCCGTCCCACTGTTCCTGGTCCAAAGGAAGAGGCTTCCCGGGCACCATCCCTCCCACTGCTCCCAGCCCAGAGGATAGGGCTTTTGGGCCACCTTCTGTCACACCGCTCCTGGCCCAAAGGAAGGGG